CAGACTTCAGGGGTATCTGAGGCAGGCTTGAAACACAAGAGTCAGGGTGGCTTCTGGGTAATACCAGATGGCTAGGCCTCAGACTGACGAAGCCTCTTGGATGAGGGGCGAAACGTTTCTTTTTTAACAAAAAAAACGAAGTCCAGATGACATGATTCAACCTTTACTTGTCTGGTAAGTTCTCATGAGAGAACCAGCCGACCAACCAACTTTGGAAAAAGGTTTAGTTCCTGTCTCACCTGTTCAAAAGGACTTTAGACCCAACTTCAGCACTTTTCTATCTAATCAAGATACTTAAAGGTCTTTACAACACAATCTATGCCCTCATTTACCTCCACACACACATTCCTACAGCACTCGAGTAAATCTCTACAAAGCTAAATGAACAAATCATTCTAAAAATGCAATGCAGCTTAGAATCCTAAAACCTTTTTGTGATACCTTGACATGATGGTGCTCGGCTGTCCCATCCCTGAGAGTTACTGATGGAAGCCACGCCCCCTGACCAGGAGTCTCCGCCTCCAATCTGAAACACAGTAACCCATAAGAGGAAGTACTTTGATCTCTTTATCGTTAATACCTAAAACATAAGGCTAAATGAGGGAAAGAGGAGCTGCTCACCTGTAAATACCCCTCAGGTACAAGTCCAGTTTGTCCGTTGTGGTTCTGAGCTGCAATCCAGCCTCCCCCTACAGTCTGTGCAGCAGACAGTACTGTGTTAGTACTGGTACTTTGTGCATGTGTGTGAGTACTGAGTACCTGGATTAAGGATAGGTTACCTGGTCAATGATGGTGACCATCTCGCCTTCTCTGACAGACAGCTCATTATGTCCAGGCTCCGCTGCAAAGTGGTACAGAACCAGAGCCTGAAACACAGAAAGACTCAAATCTGCTGGGGACACAAGAACTTCCTGTAGAACATCTGTTAAAGAACCAGACTCCCTTCAGGTTTTCCAGCCTCCTGCAGGTGCTTGTTGTAAGACACGGTTCTGTTTGGGTTCTTCAGACACAAAGTGCACCATGACATCTAAACCAATGTGCTTGTTCTGCACCTTCAGGATTCTGGTGGGTGGAAAACCCAAAACAATGGATGAAGATGAAGGAGTGAAAACACGATCAGCTTGAACAGCAAAACTAAACTCTGACTGCATGATTGATGATCATCAAGTAAAAGATCAATGAATATTTTTATCATTTAAATGTTTTCATCAATTATTACAGCTGTAAAAGGAGCATTTTGCTTGCTGCCTTGCCAGTTTTTATTATCACACCTGTACTATCACCTGCAGCTGATACTGTAACACCTGCAGCTGATACACCTGTACTATCAACTGCAGCTGATACACCTGTACTATCACCTGCAGCTGATACACCTGTACTATCAACTGCAGCTGATACACCTGTACTATCAACTGCAGCTGATAC